TTCAGGATTTGAACAAATAATAAAGTTAACGAGGTAGGGAGCTTCACATACCGGTGCAACCAAAACAGATTAAGGCGCCATGTGAAACCACTGCCTTATTGATTATTACAAAGGTAAGATAAAATCCGTAGTAGCTCTTACAGGGAATTCATTTCGATTTTGGATATGGTGAAAACCTTAAGGTGATTTTTTCCATTTCCCCTGTGAAATTACTACTACCGTCACCTCCGACTATGAATGAATGTAAGTTGGTTGCAAAATTCTGTCGGTCTTGGTGAATGATTTACTCATGAATTTATGCTTCTGTTACAGGGTTTCATTATGAGCTGATATTGGTTAGAGAGTCATTGGAAAAGCTACAGAGAGTACTGTCCTACTTTTGGACTCGTTAACAGTACTCACCCACCAGAGTTCGAACCCAGGACCTTTCGGTTGCACTGCAGCCACTAAGACCCGACCCATTGGTCAGGGCATGAATGCCAACTTCTGCCGATTCACACACGACATTGCGCGACTGACACTAGCGAATATTAATACTGGCGAATATTTGCCCCACCCCCGAAGTTCGTACAAACTTATACTTGAATATCAATGAGATTCTCACCAGCGACTGGCCGTATTCATGCTGGTAGCTTCCCGGGGTTCTAGGTGAAAGTCGTGACCAGTAGGGTACAACAGGTCAGGTGTGAGGACGTATACTAGCCACCGATGACATTGGCTAGTGCCAGTCGCGCTATATCGTGGGTAAATTTGCAGAATTTGGTTATCCATTGCGTAGGGTCCCAGTTGCCTAATAGTCTACTAACTCGCTAGCCTTGTAACCGGAAGGTGCTGGCTACGAACCCTGTCAGTGGGTGTGTACTGCTAAAGAGTCCTTCCTAAACTAGGCTGAGTACTGAACAGCTAGTCAAATAGCTGACTAGCTGTTCAGTACTCTCTGTTGGTCTTCTAATGGTTCTCTAACCGATGGCAGCTTATGATGGAATCTTGAGACGAATAAAATCAAATCCCTAGAAGCCGATACTTGATTATGCTGATGTATTTACTTTCCCATATTACTAGATTCTGGGGGTTATAATTTATCCCAGTGCTACAGAGGTGTATTCACATTTCATCTGAATTAGGATAAATGTTCTCATTAAGCCAATATTTGATAATATGGCCTTCATTTCTTTTTCTACACTTTTATTCCATCTAATTAATGTGCAGTTACGAGATGTAACGGCTCTGAGTGTCAGTTTCAGCGCATAGAACTTTTCACAGAAGTATAACAGTTCAGGTTACCACACTCCGTGTACCCTACAAAGATGGATAAAAGAGAGAAGAAGAGATTTAGAGGAATTACACTAAGCGCTAAATGTCCAGGGGAAGAATAGTGAAATGAGAAAAAATGATGGTTTAGCGGATATGAGAGGTCACGAAGAGTGAATGCCTTCAAGCCGTTGATGACGATTTTGAGCCGTGTTCCCCAGTATTTTTCAGTCATTGTGCCTCTTAACACCCCGATGTCCCCAGCTAGGTAGTTTGCACACTTCCCTGTATTATTATTATTCCGAGTGGGACATCGATCTTCAACAACACATCTCTACTTCGATATATTTTCTGCTATCCTCTTCATCTGGCTGACCCTACGACTGCCCATAATGTCTCATCTCCTTCGCCCCACCACCACATGATCTCCTCCATATTACCTTCACACTGACAACCCAGTCGTCGTCAGTGCAATGGCCTCCATTGCCCACGATCTCATTCGATGGTCTCCTCAGCGTTCACTCAATCCATCTCCATTTTCTTCGGAATATTTGTTGTGCGATCGGCTCTTGGTTGGTTCGTTGGAGGCCAGAGTTTCTTGTAGCTAATTCTTTCCGGCCGGCTGGCCATTTCGTTTTCAGTATGGAGCCAGAGAGACTATTGACAAAAGTCTGCAGTAGACTGTTAGAAATGCTTTTCGTGATATGAAAGAAGTAGTGACTGACTGAAACTGACATTAGTTTTAGAAATCCGAATCTTGTTTTATATGCTGGCTGAGTGAGAGTAGATGATTTCCAAACTGGTTTCAGAGTAATGAATGTGTATCTCGCTTTTCTGATGCTGTCTGGCTTCGAAATCTTCATCCGTTCTGTCACCTGTGGTTGAAACAATAATTCCTAGCCATATAAGTGAAGGGAGTGACCTCATTCAAGTTTATCGCGTTGATCGTGATTGGCGCTGATTGTTGTTGTTGCTGCTGTTGTGGTTACTGCGTGGTTATCTTCATCACCTCCATCTTCTGTATGTTCAGCTGGAGTCTTGTCTTCGCCACCTGTTTCTTCAACCATCTTTTTGGTTTTCGCCTACCTGCAATTCTTTGAGTTTGTGTAACAACTGAACAAAAATCATCCACGCGTGAAATCCAGATCTTCTGGTGTCTTTTCATTGGTCACTGCAACGTATTCCTGTCTCCTCACTCCCCATGTACAATGTGCTAATGCAATCCACCACAATTAAGAATTTCACATCTCCCTGTCAAAGATTTCATGAATTGATGTCAGATTTTGGTTTGACCCCCCAACCTTATCTCTTTTTTTAACCTAATCCTGCATCAAATTCACATCGCTCGTCGAGAAAGATGATAGCTCGGCATTCATAACTTGTGTATTAGCCATCTCAGTCTTTGTAGCTTCATAACCTCTTCGAATGACTTCCTCTGCTTACCCTTAACACTCTTTTTGTTTATTTTGATGTTTGCGTGAACAGGTTGTCTCTACATTTGCTAATATTGCTGGCTTATTCTTTTTTCGTTATTATTGTTGTTATTTTTTCGTTGGATAGCCGGAACACAATGAAGAAATTAAAAAGATAACAATGGTGTTAGAATTATGCGAATTATTAGCTGAATTAGCTGAACGTCGAGCATCAGCACTAGCCGACTGTACGCCAACGCGTGTTGTCACTACTACTACTCCCACTAATACAACCGCTGAAGACGGGACTGCTACTACTCCTACTAACATAGATCCTTCTAATAATGAATCCATACCAATGAATTCCGATAATTTACAGGAGGATAAATCATCGATAAATGGAAGATCTGATGGTAACATCAATCCCTGTCTTGATGGTGAGCATACTGGTGACAATGGACAGTCAGAAATGAATAAAACGTCAACTGCACTTAAATTTGTTTCTGAAGCTCAAAGGTATGTGTGTGTCTGTGTGACACTGTAGTTTATTTATTTGATTCCACACCGTATATTTTGATACAAGTATGGAATTTTCAGCATGCGATATCAGTAGCCCAAATTTAGCAGGCTGACCATTGATATCGGGTGTGCGTCGGCAGGAGATCGAACCCCGTACCATGTGCATGGTCGGCGAGAGTCCTAACTGTTGTGCCACCGACGCACGTTGTATGCAAATTTGTTTATAGTTGACTGTTAATCATTACCGGCCAGGTGAGGATCTGACTCATTCATTCATTGTCTTAGACATTCAATTTTCGCTGAGTAGGTCTCAGGTTGAAATCTCACTGCACCTATTATGAATAAAATTTCTATTTTATTTTGATAAAATCACACACTGTAGTGTTGTTCATACAGTGTGTTATATTTACTACTTACTGATGACCACACGTTTCGAGCACAATTTATGCACTGCTCATAATCTCATATCAAGGCGCTAACTACTCACACTACTCACTTTCTTGCTTCGTTGTTTATATATACATGAGTAAAAATTGATGATTAGACATTTGATGAATAAAATCAATAAAGCGAAAATATTCATTCAGATATCTATAAAATGCAAAATAATTGAGCAAAAAATATCCTTTTCGATAATTTCCTCTTCTGGCTCTACAATTATATGTACGTATTTTTATATACATAGAATATTCTAAAATAGTAGTCAATAACAATATTAGTGTTTTTTTTAAAAATAATATCCGGGAAATCTGCTCGGATGAATGTCTTGATGAGGAACTTAATAAATATTAAACGGTTGCTGAATGAAAACGGTTATCCAGAAAAGTTTATTGATAAGAATATGAATCAAAAATCAAAGCAACCCAAGGTACCAACAGTTTCTAAAAAGGCCTTATTCTTAAAAATTCAGTTCCTCGCGGATAACATCAGCGAGATACTAACACAGCGCCTTAGGAATGCGACGATAAAAGGAGCATTCCCTGCTGTCGAATTACAGTGTATCTTTAAAGGCACCCCAATTTCGCGTTCGGGAGTAAAAGACAAACTGCCTAATTTTGCCTCTTCCATGTGTATGTACCAATTTAACTGCTTCTGTGGAGCCATTTAGTTGCATAGGCCGTACAATTAGGCGTGTTTCTCGTCGAATTTCCGAACATCACCCTGCGTGGTTATGTATAGGACAAACAAAATCTAGTCGTAGCGCTATTTTATCTCATCTTGTGGATAAAGAACACAAGATTGGTGTTAACGAGGCAGCTTTCAAAGTCATTTACCACATACCAAGAAATCTTAACTTCACCTTAAGAGTTCGTCTACTAAATATTGCTGGAATGACTGTTGGGATCCACATTAAGAACCTTAATTTATGTGTCCAAAAGAAGCTAGTTCAGACATTGTCTTTACCCCGCTAGCGATCTAGGTTCGATTGATCCTCAATTTTTTGTAGAAATTTCCTTCATTTTAATTGATATTCTATTTGCTATTATATTTTTATTATTATTATAATTTAAGCATTTTTAATAGACTGTAATTCCATTGATCTTACTTAACAAATCGATATTATATAGACAAAAAACACCAATATTTTTATTGACTACTATTCTAGAATATTCTGTGTATAAATATATATATATATATATATTTGTAGTGCTGGGAGAGGAAATGATCGAGGAGAATGTTCTTTGCTCAAATTTTCTTCTGTCCTCTAAACGCCTGAATGAGTATTTTTTTCCTTTTACTTGAAATCTTTTTTCAAAATATTCTTAGAGTGAAATTGGTTTACTCTCATTTCACTTTTGAATTATTATGCGTTTCTCTTTACTTATATAAAAATGTGTTAATTTTTTGTTGTTTTTGTTGTTTTGCTGGATATTTTTAGAATTGTTGAACAAATTGTACTCTATCGACGAGTTCTCTACTATTTGGAGTATGTATTTGATCAAGTGAAAAAAGCTTTTCAAAATGGTCGATTAAAATCCACGGCGACTGCACGAAGACGTGAGTTATTATCATATTGGTTACAGGATTTCATTATGAACTGACATCGGTTCGAAGAGAGCCATTGGAACAGCCAGTTAGCTGTTTCGTCAGCCTAGTTTTGAACGGACTCTTCAGCTGTGCGTACCCACTGGATTTTGAACGCAGGACGTTACGGTTACAAAGAAAGCTCGTAGACAATTCAGTTGGTGTGTGCGTGTTGCCGATGACTTCCAAACTAGGCTGGCGAAACAGTTATCCAGTACTCCATTGCTGGTTTTCAATGGTTCTCTAACTGATGTCGATCCGTGGTGTTGGACTTGAATTACGTCTTCTGTTGTTGCCTTTTCGGAATGATATTATGTTCTGCCTCCAAAAAAATATATTTCTTGACAAACGATAGTTACATGTGAGAGCATTGGAAGTATCAGGCTAGTTCTGTGACATTCATGTCTTTGGTAATTGGAGAAAGCTAGACAGCGTTTGAGTGTACTTCTGCAGGCATTGATATATATATATATATATATATATGGCTTTACTTAAGAAATTATATCCGGTGACGGAATCGAATCACAGGTGTGAATAAATAAAATAATAATAATAGTAGTATGAAATGCAAATTAAAGTTAAAATGTTCGTGAGCGTGGAATTCTAAGATGACTTAGCTTCCGATATCATTAAAAAAGGATCTCACAGTCCCTGAAAAGGACATTCTCTGCTACATTGTTGAGAATTGCGTTTTCCAGTCGACCAATACTGCTCGTATGGAGCTAGTTATATCTGTCATTCGATTCGGTTTTTGTCCAAAAGGATGTAACAACGCTATCCTGCATGGTTACGAAGAGGTGGGAGTGGACCTGGTAGAGGCATAATCACCGCAACATCTGGTCGATAATGATTACCTTATATCTACAGCCTCCACCTTTAAAGTCATCTACAAGGCGCTAAGTAATTTACCCAAATTACTACGTATCCGATACTCACCTGTATTGCTGAAGCCGTCTTTGATCATCAGAATAGAGAAGACAGATCTCTGTATACAGAAAAAGTTCATTCAATGCACACCAACTTCCATGGTCTTAATCCCGCTATGTTAAAGTATGATAATCCCCACTTCATATTTTGCCTCTTTTTATTTGTCGTTGTGTTTATTCAATTTGTATACTCTTTCTTTATTACGTCAATTGTTACTGTCACTATCCTCACTTTGAACAGTCCTTGGTATTACTTCACTCGTTCCACTTGTCATTCTAAATCAATTCTGTTTTACAACGTTAAATTCTTTGTTATCAAATTATGAATAGCTATTGTCAACCAGAGTCTGTGTAAACTTTCTTTCTTCCTCATCAAGTGTGTCTTTGGTGCATATTCGTTGGATTCTACTGAAGAGGCACCTTACTAACACTCTTTTATACCGAACAGGGTTTCAGAGCATACTCCTAAATGGCTTCAGAAGCAAATAGAATCCCCAGAACCCATTAATGGTGAGAACAGACGACCTAGCTCCTCTATTGCGAAACATATTACAGAGGAGACAGGACATAAAATTGATGTTTACATGACTTTTAAACCTATCTATAAAACGTGATTGGGGCGTATCCTGAAGTTTGTGGAATCCCTAGCTGGCAGTTAGGAAGTTTAAACCACCTCTATGCGTTCAAACAGAATTTATCATCATATTAAACCTTCTTTGGTTCAGTGATCTTCATTGGCATTTTGACCATCAATATGTCGTTTCAACTTAACCTAAATTTATTTTCTTACCTCTTAACTCCTCATTTATTTCATATACATTTATATACATCATATATATATATATATATATATATAATATTAGGTGGTTGGAGGCAATCGGCAGGAAGCCTTGGACCTAGGTTTCGTGCTAGTTGGCACTCGTCAGCAAAACGAATAGCTCAGTGTTGACGTCTCTGACTGCAGCACTGGGTGACGCGTGTTTGAATCTCAGAAGAGTCATGAGTTCCTTCAAGTTCGCAGATACGCCCTGCTGACG